GGACAGTTGGGACATGTTGTCGTTCATGCTCAATGGCTGCGTGTATACCCCTGACAGGGTGATGCAGGGTCATGTGGATAGTACGCTCTATGTGCAGTCCACGAACGAAGAGTGTTACCAAGACATGCTGTTTAAGAACATGCTGATCTGGATCGATGAGATCTTTGTATACGCCGAGAACGTCGAGGCGTATGTGGTGGCTGTCGAGAACTTCTTCGATCAAGTGGCGCACTTTGGGTTTAAGTTGAGCCCGTCCAAAACCAAGCTGTACACACACGAGGTCAAGTGGTGCGGACGCATTATCAGTGGCGAAGGCGTGAAACAGGACCCGGAACGGATCCAGCACTTGTGTGCCATCCCTACCCTTCGAACGCGGGCGACTTGCAACAATTTGTGTGTGCAGTCAACTGGTTGCGGGACTCCATGACTGAGTATGCACAGACGGTGGACCCACTCCAACAGTGCTTGACAAAGGCCCGCGAGGGTAAGGGCACGAAGAAATGCATCGCGTCTGGTGTTCACTTGGAATTAACCGACAGCGAGAAGAAAGCCTTCGATGCAGTGAAGTCCAAGTTACGGGCGTCAGTTGAACTATCTCACCCTCGTGATGATGCAACGCTGTGCCTGTTTACGGACGCCAGCGACTATGGATGGTCAATTGTGGTACGCAAGTGGTGGCATTTAACGAAGCGATGGCGATCCAAGAGCAACACCATGAGCTACTACTATGCCAGTCGGGGGGAATGTTTGCGGGCGCGGAGAAGTCGTGGTCAGTAATCGAGAAATAAGCGTACCCGATTGCACGAGCGTGCGAAAAGCTCAACTACCTGCTGATGCGACCTACTGGATTTCGCATGTACTGCGACCACAAGAACCTGATCCATGTGTTTGCCCCCGGTGAAGAGTGGAAAGCACACACCCGAGGGAAACTCATGCGGTGGGCTGCCATTATTGGCGGCTACCGCTATGACATTATCCACATCGACTGTGTCTATAACCTATGGGCGGACATGATGAGTCGATGGGGCCAACCGACTCCACGTCTGGTGGCAAAACGAGTACTCGTCCGGCGTGGCCACAAGTGGACGAAGAAACGGCGCCCGGCAAAGTCCAAGAGAACAACTCGACCACAACAGAAGCTGCGGCCTTTGGACGACGACTTTGTGTGGCCGAGTGTAGATGACATCCGCCAAGCGCAAGAACAACATGCGCGTGACCGACCGCCCAAGACGACCACTGACGGTGAGCTATGGAACGTGGATGGCCGCCTATGGATACCAAGTGCGGCGGACGACCTGATCCAACGGATCATGGTGGTTGCCCACTGTGGCAGCATGGGACACCGTGGCCACGCGGCACTGGTGGCCTCGATCAGGCGCCTATTCTACCTCGACCACCTCACCCATCGAGGGAATTCCTCCGCGGATGCTTACTGAGCCCTCATGTGAAAGGGGGAAGGGTGGTCCACAGACCGTATGCACCCAGATGGCACGCAAAGGAACGCAACGAAGGAATTCACTTCGACTACCTATACATGGGCGAAGCATACAGTGGCGCCAAGTATGTACTGGTGTTGAAGGACGACCTTACACACTACTGCGAGCTGGTGGCCTGTGACGGCCCCACGAGTCAAGTGTGTGTGGATGCACTGGTGGACTGGACGAAGCAATTTGGGATGCCACGAGTCTAGGTCAGTGACCAAGGCACCCATTTCAAGAACGTGGCGATCGAGGCGTTGGCGCACAAGTTCAAGGTGCACCACGATCTCACACTGGCCTATTGCCCATGGCGAAACGGCACAGTAGAACGTATGAATCGCGATATTCTCCAAGTCATACGCGTGATGCTACGGGACTACCAGTTCGACGAGAAGGAATGGGACTACCTCCTCCCGGTGGTGCAGTCCAATCTCAACCAGCCCCCGGCAGTGTCATGGCCAACAAGTCCCCCATGGAGCTTTTCACGGCCCTCAACCCAGCGACCCCTTTGAACGTCGTTGTGGTGGGCGTGAACAAGGATCTCTGTGAAATCAAGTGGCAACACAAGGACATCCAAAAGAACCTCGACGAACTACGAACAAGTTTGCATGCGATGCACAAAGAAGTGCTGAATCGCAACGAGCTACGGACGAACAAGGCGGCGAAAGCCACAGAAGACTTCGAAGCCTGCAACGTGACCGAAGGCGATTATGTGTTATGCTCAAGGGTGGACGAGCGCTATCATCCCAAGCTACTTGTCACCTGGGTCGGTCCATACCGCGTCAAGTTAGTGGGCGAATTCTCCGTGATGTTAGAACATCTGGTGACACATGAAGAACGAGAAGCTCATACGTCACGCGTGAAGATGTATGCGGAAGCGAGTTTTGAAGTCACCGAAGAAATCCTTGAACATGTCTCCGAAAAGGCATTGTATTGAAGGTCAAATCCATCGCGGGACATAAGTTTGTCCCGGATGTGAGCGACTTCATGTTGGAAGTGTTTTGGCAAGGTTTCGAGGACATCGAGTCATCATGGGAGCCGCTCAAGAAGTTAATGCGCGAATGCCCAGCCGTGGTCAAAACGTATGTGGCGACCAAGAAGGACGCCGAAGACTATGAGACATTGGCTAAGGCGATGAAGCGGGCAAAGGCGGTGCAGTAGCAAAGCCGAAGGCCTTTGTGTCAGGGCGGCGACATGGCTTGGGGTGTGTGTTGTGGTTGGTGGCTGTCAGCCATGCCCCGCCATGACACAAAGGGACTCTCGATGGGGTCCCTTGGCGCCAATCTTGTGAACCGACGGGTTAGATACACTCTAGTAGTACTAGTAGTAGTATTAGGAGCTAGTGGAAGTGTCGGTTGGGAATGGTCACCATGGTTAGCCAATCAGTGGCCACCTGCGACCACCAGCCAGCTCACTCCTAGTTTTGCTCTGCAACGGACATAAAAATCAAGTGCGTGGTTCACGGGAGGCGGCGCTCCCCCATTTGGTTGTTTGTGTTGGCGCAGTGCGGGAAACAACACAGCTTTGGATAACGTGGAATTCACTTGTGTGACCACTTTCCCGCCCTATAGTGTCAATAGTAGGCCGCCATTCCAACCTACCCCTGGATAGTCAGGCTGAAGATGCTCGACTACTGTATGTAGGGACTGACTATTTCGGTCTCGCAGTCAATTTACAGAATGGGGAGCAAAGCTCACCCGCGCTGTAGTTGGACAAGGTCGTTGTACTGTAGGTATATGGACTCACCATGGACGATGCGGTTGAGAATGACGACTTTTACAGTAATGTTTTTTGTGTTGATTGATGGAAGTAAGGAAAATTGGTCATTCACACCTGAAAATGTGTCTCGCTACTCAGCGAAGGTTGTGCTTTCGTTGGGTTACCGATGCACTCGACGAGTTTAGTGAGGTTTGAGCCACGAGCGCGTTTGAAGAATCCATTTCCTCAAAGGAAAGTCATTGTTGGCTTTCCGTGAACTAAATGACACCGATGATTGGACAAAACTATCGGGTAATTGGAGGGATACAGTTGTTGTGCCATACAGTACTACGAGAGTAGAAGTTGAGGTCACAGAAGTTCGGCTGGCAGGTTGAGTGGGTGTGGGTTAGAAGCGTTATTTGTCGAGCATACGCCCTGGTGGTGGCCGTGTAGTGTAGCCAGGTTCCGACTACTGTACACGAATCGTACGCTTAGGAGGACGGATTGAGTGCGCAGGTTCCAATGGCGTGGTTGCGTGGTAGTCACGGAGAGCCGATGCGCGAGCGCCAGCTAGCTTAGCACCGTGGCGTACTAGTACGTCAGCCAAAAAGTACTGTCTTGGACCAAGATAGTACAAGCTACCAAGGCTCTTGGTAGCTTGACCCTCAAACGCAATCCATGAAAATACCCTATTTTCTAGCGATGTGATTGGTCCAATGAAACGTAGTGCATCTGCATTACGTTTTCCCTACAGTATTTGAACAAATAATTTCTCAAATTTAATCACGAGGCACGGAATTAATTCAAGCCTGGTCAATTTGTTTTCAACAAATCGAAAATATAATGCGTCGTGCATTACGATGCCGTTATTTTCGCCCATATTTCATGTCATTTTCTGGATTATGTACTTCGAAGTATAATTTTAGCGCGAGACTGCAAATCGGCCAGATTTACAGTTTCGACTGTAAAATACAGTTTTGACGAATTAGCCAATAACATGTTGTCAATGCCACACAGCTCTCCTGTCGAGATCAAGAGTAGATACTGTAATAATGAACCTCAGTCACGGTTTCTGGATCCCCAGCAGTTACAACTACCGATGAATATGATCAATATTCCGACCTCACTTAGTGTTTGAATGGGGGACTTCAGAAACTGTCACAAATTTTATTTGTGACAGTGAAATCATCCAGAATTACAATTCATTAGTGGAAAAAAGTCGGACAGGATATACAGGAACCAAGTGATCGTCGGACCGTTTGTCCGACTTTCTTGTTCGTTGTAAAATATTTATTATACATATATACAAAAGCGAAGTCAAAACCAGACGTGAGAAACTGACAGAAGAAAGTCGGACCGAATGTCCTGTATCCATTGATTGGTTAAAAGTGCATTTTGACCATGGCAGATGAACATAATGAGGTTTTGAAAAATACTGTACTTCTCATAATCCAGAAAATGACATGAATTATGGGCGAAAATAACGGCATCGTAATGCACGACGCATTATATTTTCGATTTCTTGAAAACAAATTGGCCAGGATTTAATTAATTTCACTTACACATGCCTAGTGATTAAATTTGAGAAACTATTTGTTCAAGCAAATAGGGAAAACGTAATGTATATTGCACTACGTTTCATTGGGCCAGTCACATCGCTAGAAAATAGGTATTTTCATGCATGGCGTTTGAGCTTCAAGCTTCCACGACGATACTTGTTTGATGATACGCCATCGTGCTGAGCTTACCTGGCGCTCGCGCTTCGGCTCTCCGTGACTACCACGCCACCGCTACGTTGGAGCTTGCGTACTTCGATTCGTCCCCCTAAGCGTACGAATCGTACGCTTGGAGGACGTGCAGCAGTACGGGACGACCCCAGAACCTGGCTACGCTACAGAGAACCCCGGAAATATCCGACAGGGGTTACAGCAAATTTTGTATGGGGATGTCGCCAGAGTAATAATAATATTCATTACTTTTTTATTGTTAGATATGATTGGTAGAAATTACGAGCGTAACGTTACATGAGGAAATATATGGTATCGTAGATTTTGGGTCACATCATAAGGACGTCGTCGGAGTACGGAACATTTGAATTATCATGGGCCCACCATTAGATGTACTTTCGGGGGTAGGTATTTGCATCAGTTGATGTAGTCATTTCTTTGCGACGCTATAGGGACGATCGTTCTCCCTGGTAATGACACCACCTCGAAATCCACTTTTTGCCCCCCCTTTTCATGTATCCTGCAGCTAAATGCCCTAAGTACACAGTCTGCAATGCAGGTGCCCCGGGTTCAAATCCCACCGAGGGATATATTTTGTCAAGTGATGTTCAACATGACAAAAATATTCAACACTATTATTTTTAATCACCTACTACAAAATTCTATTGGATTCACGACGGGGGGTTATCCAGAGAACACTCTTACCGAGCACATAATTAAGATCACAACACAGTATCTATTATTTACACAACTACAATGCGGGGACGCAGAATTGCTTTTTGAAATGATTTTTGGATTGCGTCGCTAGAAATCATTTCCCAGGCCTTGATTGAACGCAAAATCATAGCACGTCGCTTGTCTGCAGCTGAAGTGACAGGCGCTTCATCGAGCCACAGTGTCCGCAACAACTTCTTGAACGGCCCCATAACCCCTACATCCAAGGGCTGACACACACTTGTGCAGTTGGCAGGGAGT